CTGTCTAAGAGTCAGGAAGCACTTGGATAGCTTTGTCTTGTTGGTGTAAAGAAGTTCTTCTTGGCTTCTGCAGCTCCTCCTTTGGATAGGGCTAGCAGCGTTCAAAATTTGCCAGGCACAAGGCACATTTTGCTCCTGGCTATTGGCCACTCTCGACCAAGTGAGGATGCCTGGGCGCTAGGATGGCACCTGATGCCTGGGGATCTTGCCTGTTTCCACACACTTAACAAAACATCCTGTAGAATTCTGTCGGTGATATTTTATCTGCACAATCAGAATAAATTTCAGAAACCAAAAAGTCATATTGAAAAATACGACTTTTGAACTTTCTGTGCCCCCAAGTGGCAACAAAGAATTCCGTTTTGGCGACTGTAACCCTGGTTTAAGGGGTTTATTTGGTGCCTAGCTTACATATCTGAGTTTTTTTTAAAAAAGAAATATTTTTATTAAACAATTTCAGCATAAGAAATTATCAGTCCAAATGATCAATTTCATTATTTTCCCCCTTCCCCCCCACCATCCCTCCCATTCCCCCCCACCAAGGACTTCCCTCAGCTCCCCTCTCTGATTTCTTTACACATATTGTTCTCTACATGTTATAAAATTGTACATATCTGTGCCTTATCTATCAAATGTTCAACTCATAAATTTGTGGATGTTTATTCAAAACTTGCCAAGGAGTCCAGATCATTTTGTTGTCTTTTTAGGTAATTTGTAAAAAGTTCCCATTCTTCCTTGAAGTCACGATTGTCCTAATCACACAGTTTGTATGTCAATTTGGCCAATTCCGCATAGCTCATCAATTTTTCTTGCCGCTGTTCTTTCATTGGGATTTCCTCCTTCTTCCACATATCTGAGTTTCTAACACTGACTAGGTGATGGTCTGTAGCAGGCGTGAGGAAACTCCAGTCCCATAGGCTTAATTTGGCCAGGCATGGGTACCAGTATGGGCCACCAAGGCCTTGTCCCTCAAACCATGAGCTATGTACATGATGTCAGGTGTTGGGCAAGTCGAGATGTGGCTGCCAGTGAACCATCTGGAGCCTTGATGTGTGCTCCTGATTATTCCTTGGCAAGGGAGGCTTGCTGTCACTGCTGAAAGTGACAGTAAGTCTGCTGGGCTCGGCTGTGTTGCGGACGTCCCCGTGGGGAACTCAGTGGCACAGCCAGCCCTTGCTGAAATTAGCTGTTGAAGTCAGAACTAATCAGCTGATCAGCAGCCCTGCTTGGCTCTTTCCTTTACAGCATGGCTGGGGAGGGCGGTGTATAAATAAAATTTATTATTATTATTATTATTATTATTATTATTATTATTATTATGGCTTGAACTCAAGCCATGTTACAAAGAAAATGGGTCAGCTTATATATGTTTCAGCCTACCACTGCTGAAAGCCAGAGGGTCTAAGCTATAGGTTTGCTTAGCATTGTGGAGAACTTGGCTTGTGGTTTTCTCTTCACCAAACAAGAACAAGCTTTGGTTACTTGGAAGTGAGACAAAGCAAAAGCCTGGGTAGTGGTAAGCCAAACCATTGTTTTGTTCTGGGTAGCACAGCAAGGCCAGGGGAGGAGAGAAGTGTCTGAATGTTTCTCTGGATGAATGTTTCATCATGCTTGCTCATTTGTGGTAAGCAATTGTTTGGTTTGCCGTTATGTGGTGCAAACTGGTCCAGTTGGTTAGCATAAGCAGTGGTTTAGGAACTTAGGAAGTTTCCTTATACTGAGTCACATCTTTTGTCCATCTACTTCAGTACTGTCTGCTTGGACTGGCAGCAGCTCTCCATGATTTCAGACAGGGAGTCTCCCAGAGTCCTTCCTGGAGATGCCAGCAATAAAACATGAGACCTTTTGCTTGCAAGTCACATCCTCTACCACTGAGCAACAGCCCTTCCTTTAAAAAGACCTTAAATTCCACGTGTGCTAGGAAGCAGAAAACCTTTTCTTCCTTCTTTGTATTAAATATGGGAATCAAAGTACCATGAATTCACCTTCATTTTAAAATTTCCAGGACATTTCCTCCCGTAACAGAATAATTTGTAATACCGATTTCAATATAAGCATGCAAATCATTTTTAAACAAAGTTGTGTTGTGCTGAAACAGTTTCATACGATTTTCTCCCCTGCCCACTGCTATTGATTTTTTCTGAGTTCCACACTCTTCTTCGGTCCAGCACACTCTTTGCTGTTTCAACCTTATGTAAAAGTTCCTCTGTTTTTTGTGTCCCCCACTCCAAAGCCATCTTTACAGCCTAGGAAGACTTCATTAATGAGGATCAGTGTTTAAAAGTTTGGTAGCTGGACTGGAAAAAAATAATATATCTCATTTTCCCAGGCAAGTAGGCATCAAATTCCTGGGCCTGGCTAGAGCTCAGAAAATATTTTGAATTCCTAGGCCCCAGCATGAAATTACTAGGTACCCGGGCAAAAAGGCCCCTGGGATTTTCCCATCATGTTTGGCAGCATGAGCCTTGTAATGCTCAGCCCAGTTCAAAGATGTGTGGTGTTCCGTCGCTGTTTGATTTGCTGGTATAGCAGCTCAGAGGAACGGGTTGTTGGAAGATCATTTGCATACCCTCTCTCTTTCTCTTGCAGGGTTTCTCTTGCAGCGAGTAAATACAGGAGGCATCCCAGGCAGAGGGAAATAACTGTTGCTTTCTTAGGGTTTCTTGTGGGTTTGATTGTTGAACAGATCTGTCAAATTTGGTTTCTTATTTTTCCTTCCCCCCCTTAATTTATTTATTATTAATGTTGCAATACATATATGAAATCTTTACAGATTGATACATGTACATTATATTTGTAAATTCACATTTTCACATTTCATTATGTACCAACATTTATCCATTTCTTATTTCTTGCCCTGTGTCTTTCTTCCACCTGTGCGTGACTTCCTTGTTATTATTTTGTAACTTTATTATTGAGATTGTAACTTTGTATCTTAATAATTAAACATTCAATCTTATATATCTGCTTAGCTTAACTTAACTTTGTGAAATCAGTCCATACACGTCAATAAATTCTTGTTAGAGCATCTTTTGGTCATGTATTCTTCTACACATTTCCATTCCTGTTTGAGATTTTGATTAGACTGCATTCTAATTGTTGCTGCCATTTTTGCTAATTCAATCATTTCAAAGAATTTACATTGCCAATTGGTTTCTTATTTTTCCAACCTCGGATTTGCTCCCTTGCATTTCCACATCGGCTTCTGGATTTTTATTCTTAAAAAGCTCATGAAATTTTACTTATATTTTAGCACAATTCCCCCCCCCCCCATTTGCATATTTTTGCAGTTTCACTCCAATATAATACATTCTTGTATCTTGTTGTCACCAATGTATGCATTTATATGTAAACTCTGTCCTAGTATACGTGACATTCTTTGGCTGGAGAGCAGTATGGAGAAGTGCGGGTTTCGAAGGACAGCTGCGTTTTGGTTCTCAAATCATTTTGGAAAATGCAAATTACGTCCGAGTGCCTTTAAATGAGAACTGAGGCAAATTTCTCCCCATCCCAAATTGGGACACAGGTTAGCAACAGATAACTTACTGTGCTCAAGGCCCGTTCTTCTCCTCTTGCCTGATCAACAAGAGGACCTCTGTTGGAATTTGCCTGTTCTCAGAGGAGCTCAAGACAACCTACTGTATTTTTCGCTTCATAAGGCGCACCTGACCATAAGGCGCACCTAGTTTTCAGAGGGGGAAAAGACGCATACACATTTCCCCTTACTTTTTAGGAGGGAAAAGTGCGTCTTATGGAGCGAAAAATACGGTACATAGCTCTCCCATTTTATCCCCACACAAGAATCCTGTGAGATAGGTAAGCTGACTGAATCAAGATTGCTCAGGGATTTTCATGGCTGAGCTGGGGTTTGACCCTGAGTCCCCACCCCATTTAATGCAATACTCTAATCCCTGCACACCTCAGCAGATTTCAGCATGTTTTCTGCAAGTTCTTCCTCTAATGTCTCAGTAAATTTAAACAAGTTGTTGTCTGAATGGCACACTGATCCACTTGGAATGCCTTTCTGTTGGAATAGGTTTTGCACGTGCACAGCTCTGTACTGAATGCCAAGTGGTGTAAATTTGCACCAATGTAAGAATTTGCTGGGTTAGGCCAGTGAGCCATCTAGGCAAGCAGTTCTCTCAGTTGGACACCCAGATGCCTACAAAAAAGACCACTTAGAATCACAGAACTGTAGAGTTGGAAGGGACCCCGAAGATCATCTAGTTCAGAACCCCCTGCAATGCAGCAATATGCAGCTGTCCCATACAGGGATCAAATCTGCATCCTTGGTGTTATCAGCACCATGCTCTAACGCAACTGTTACAATAAGGCTGTGTGATTCAAACTTCAGAAAACCCAACGGCCGTTGATCAAATTATAGGCAGCCTAGAGAAATAATTGAGATGCATCTAACATCTCCACTGCTTGGATTTCAGTTGTGGCAGAATTGGGGTATATTATGATACAATGACTTCTTTCCTCATTGAATGTTTCCAAGCACAATTCAAAGTGTTGGTCTTGACCTTTAAAGCCCTAAATGGCCTCAGTCCAGTATACTTGAAGGGGCGTCTCCAACCCCATCGTTCAGCCTGGACACTGAGGTCCAACTCTGAGGGCCTTCTGGTGCTTCCCTCACTGCAAGAAGCGAAGTTACAAGGAACCAGGCAGAGGGCCTTCTCGGTGGTGGTGCCCTTCCATCAGATGTCAAGGAAATAAACAACTATCTGACTTTTAGAAGACATCTGAAGGCAGCCCTGTTTAGGGAAGTTTTTAATGACTGATGTTTTAATGTATTTTTAATCTTTTGTTGGAAGCTGCCCAGAGTGGCTGGGGAAACCCAGCCAGATGGGCGGGGTATAAATTATTATTATTATTATTATTATTATTATTATTATTATGGGGCACTAAAGTCATGAGCACCCACTTTTCAGTGCGGTCTGAGCGCATTGGCCCTATGAGGTGAAGCCATGCACTAAACTGTAGACCTTTCCATTGGACCCTTGTGGGGTCTCCTTCTCCTCCAGATGCCTTCTTGCACAGGGCAGAACGCTTGGCAGGAAGACATCTGGAGGAGAAGGAGACCCCACATGGAACTGTGACTGCAGAAGGAGGGAAGCCTCTGAAATAAGACTCCGCAAATCACCAAGGATCAGACCAGAAAATGTGTAATGGTGAACAGCAGCTGATCTGGGTCTTCCATTTGATAGCCATAAACATGCCTCAGATGGTTATTAGGGAAGACTTGGCAGAAAACAAACCAAAACTCTAGAAAATAAAAGTCTATTATACAAAAAGCTCCATTCTTCATCATTTGCATGGCCACCTCTGTGGGGATGAAGCTACCACTGCTGTTCTCTGCTTTGTCCCTGGGCCAGGGGGAAAAAGTAATGTCTATCCATTGAGTAAGGAGAGACAGAGCACGCTGCCTTTGAAAATGACACTCTTATCCAGCTGTTTATGGCCATGAGGAGAGAAATAGCTACACAGTGTGCAAAAAATCCTTTCCTGTAACGTCCTGGATGAAACAGCAGCTGAGTCTTCAGCCAGTGGTGTATCACAGGGGTCAGCAACCCTTTTGGGGCCTCTGGGCACATTTACAAAATGGGAGAAGCTTTTGTGGGTGCCACGTCTACACCTGTAGCCAAGCACACACTCTGCAACTTGGGGCTTTGCTGCTTTTAGTGGTATAGCTTTTTAGATTGAATTTGTAGCTGATTGTCTGCACCTTTGGCCACACGTCACTGTTCCAGACCCTCCAAGTGTCCCTATTTTTTTCCAGGGACAGTCCTGGATTTACAGAACCCATCCTGGTTTCTGATAGGACGCCCCTGTTTTCATCAGAGAAATGCTGGAGGGTATGGAGTTACGCAACCCCTGAGCCAAGGAGATAAGTAACTATACAACCTTTAGAAGACATCTGAGGGCAGCCCTGCATAGGGAAGTTTTTAAAGATTTATTGTTTTATCATGTTTTCACATATGTTGGAAGTGGCCCAGAGTGGGGCAACCTAGTCAGATGAATGGAGTGTTGTTGTTGTTGTTATGGAATAGGACGTCGCTGTGTTCATCGGAGAAATGTTGGAGGATATGCTCATTAGCGGGTGCTTTCATAGCTTGAGAACAGAGCGGGGTGTATTTAGAAACTAGTTGACTGTACAAAGGTGTGCTCGGTGCTTCAGCTTCTTTTGCCTTTGTCTCCACCCTCTACTTGAATGTGGCCCTTGGAAGGTTACTCAGAAGAGAATACGGCCCTCGGGATGAAAAAGTTTCCCTGCTCTAAAACCATTCCACATACTGAATACTTCATTTCCTGTACTACCGAGCGTGATCAGAGAGCAGTCCTCTTTGGGAAAAAGCTCTCAAGGGGAACTGAATGAAATGGCTCATATTCCATTGATATTCCTGGATATTCAGATGGTCCGGCGAAGAAGGCAGAGCAGGTAAAGCGTCTCCACCCCCATCGTTCTGCCCGGACTCTGAGGTCCAGCGCTGAGGGTCTTCTGGCGGTTCCCTCGCTGCGAGAAGCCAAGTTACAGGGAGCCAGGCAGAGGGCCTTCTCGGTAGTGGCGCCCGCCCTGTGGAACGCCCTCCCACCAGATGTCAAAGAGAACAACAACTACCAGACTTTTAGAAGACATCTGAAGGCAGCCCTCTTTAGGGAAGCTTTTAATGTTTAATAGACTATTGTATTTTAATATTTTGTTGGAAGCCGCCCAGAGTGGCTGGAGAAATTATTATTATTATTATTATTATTATTATTATTATTGTATTGGAAGGCCTTTCTCCCAATAACTTTGGAGCAGCTTCGTACTTTCTGGGCCAAGCTGAGCTGCTACACTCTTTCTGCCAGACCACCCTGAAATTCTATGACTACGTCATGAGAACATCCACCAACAACTTGCTTTAAGGAGAAAATGGGGTGAGAAATCACCACACGTTACCCTTGGGAATATCAGCACACTCTGGATTTCTATTCAGTGCTGTTATTACTACAAACAATGGATCTAATTAGCATGTGCAAATTTTATGCAGATCTCTGTTCCCCTCTGTTTTTTTGTTTTGTTTTGGAGACGTGTGTCACCTTCCTTTTTGGTGACCCAAAAGCGGCCATGAGCTTTAGGAATCTTTGACTTAAAAACTTGTCCAGCTTTTTCTGTGGTACTAAACTCAGCTTGGGAATGGAGATGGAGGAGGCTCCCATTTGATTGCTTATTTTTAGTATCCAGGGTTTTAAAAAAATATATATTTGTGGATGAAATAATTGGTGTCCCAGGGAGAAGAATCCGGACTGATGAGGCCTTCACTCTGCTTTCGTTTCTCGAATTTATTTTTTAATGGGAAGGCCACGTAGTAATGCACCGTATGCATGCAACCAGAAACCCATGTGACGAGTTTGCTTAACTTTACAGAAGTGGTAGCTTAGGGGGAAAAAGGAAGAAGGAAGAAAAAGTTGAGAGTGGGAGGAAATAACTTACAGCATCCCACTGGCAAACGCGCAGGTACAGTTTGGCAGGAAAGTGAAACTGATTTAATTAAATCCTCTTCACAGGCTTATAATAGCTCCATTCAAAAGGAGGAGGATTGCAGCTTCATTAGTTGATGCACAGCTTTCTGGAGGCAGGTGAGGAATGACCACGTTTGTGGTCTGATCACAGGGATTCCAAGTAAGAACACATCTTTCCACAACAGGTAGTTGATGGCCTGATTTTAATTTTGTGTGTGGCTTTCTTATATATAGAAATAGTTGTTGTAAACCACTTTGATTTATAAAAATAATGTAGAGGTATCATTTCTACCCCCCCAATAAAATATTTGAGGGGAGCCTCCCCCAAGTTGATGGACTGCCATTCAAATGTTGTTCATGTGCCACATCTTGTGATCAATTATGTGTGGTGATGCTTACCTGCCCTGCCCCCCCCCCAATATTTTATTCAAGCTGGCAGCTCTGATGCTCATAACTCTTCCCTCCAAATTGGCAAAATTACCTAGCTCACCAATAAAAACAGTAAAAAAGAGAGTAGGAAATGCTACCCAGCAAACAATCCCCTCCCAAGCAGCACTCGGGTACAACTCTTCTCATGTCTTGTTTTTAAAATACTACTACTACTACTACTACTACTCCGAATAATAATGGGGCAGGGGTCTTAGCAAAAGCACCATGAGATGTCAAAAGTATGTGGTGCCCTTGGGCTCTGCCTTGGGGACCCCAGTCTTGTCAAGTAGACATCTAGTGTCTCTATTTAGTGCCTTGATTTAGGGTTTGATCCCATCATGTACTCCTTTTTCTAGGCGGGGGTCAGGCTGCTCAATGCCAAAGAGATCCTTGCCTCTGTATGTGATCAATACTGCCTTTAGCAGTGCTCAGCATTTTTTATTTCTTAAAAAAACACACGACCTGCTGGTGCGTTATGACGGGTGTGAACAGCACCTATACGTCTCCGCACTTAACAGTTGCCAGCTGGGACGGAATGTGCGTGCAGATAAGTGTCCCATCTGCTTCTTTCCAAGGGACTTCTCGTTTACCTTCCATCTAATTAAGATAAATGACAACTGTATGTTCTAGCTGGCGCTCGTCAAGGACAAGCGTGCCCCTTTCATGTTCTTTCCCTGTTCCAAATGGGGCAGGGTGGGAAGAGGAAGTGGCGCATGATCAGGGCGAGAACTTGTGTTCATAAGCATGATTGGAACAACTGATTGGTTCAAAATTTAGAAAGGAGTACAACAAGGCTGTATATTGCGTCCCTGCTTATTTAACTTATATGCAGAATTCATCATGCGAAAGCCTGGTCTGGATGAATCCCAAGCCAGAATTAAGATTGCCGGAAGAAATATCAACAATCTCAGATAGGCAGATGACACAACTTTGATGGCAGAAAGTGAGGAGGAATTAAAGAACCTCTTAATGAGGGTGAAAGAGGAGAGCGCAAAATATGGTCTGAAGCTCAACATCAAAAAAATGAAGATCATGGCCACTGGTCCCATCACCTCCTGGTAAATAGAAGGGGAGGAAATGGAGTCAGTGAGAGATTTTACTTTCTTGGGTTCCATGATCACTGCAGATGGTGACAGCAGCCATGAAATTAAAAGATGCCTGCTTCTTGGGAGAAAAGCAATGACAAACCTAGATAGCATTTTAAAAAGCAGAGACATCATCTTGCCGACAAAGGTCTGTATAGTTAAAGCTATGATTTCCCCAGTAGTGGAAGTGAGAGCCGGACCATAAAGAAGACTGATCACCAAAGAACTGATGCTTTTGAATTATAGTGCTGGAGGAGACTCTTGAGAGTCCCATGGACTGCAAGAAGATCAAACCTCTCCATTCTGAAGGAACTCAACCCTGAGTGTTCACTGGAAGGACAGATCCTGAAGCTGAGGCTCCAATACTTTGGCCACCTCATGAGAAGTGAAGACTCCCTGGAAAAGACCCTGATGTTGGGAAAGATGGAGGGCACTAGGAGAAGGGGACGACAGAGGACGAGATGGTTGGACAGTGTTCTCGAAGGGACCAACATGAGTTTGACCAAACTGCGGGAGGCAGTGGAAGACAGGAGTGCCTGGCGTGCTTTGGTCCATGGGGTCATGAAGAGTCGGACACAACTAAATGACTAAACAACAACAAAGCATCATTGGGGTTGAAGGCAGCCCATCCAACCAAGGAAGGTGCTCTTATGCGTGAGTGTGTGTGAGATCCTATTGTTAACAAAAGTTGGGAGCGTTCCCCTCTCTTTGCTGAGCTGCAGCAAAATCCCATGGGGTTCCACGCACTTACCCCCAGGGCCTGTGGTCCTTTGGAGAACTGAGCCACTGTAGAGACTGTTGTAGCTTTAAGAAATAGGGTTTATTCACCTGTTTACACCTTCAGTCTGCATGGAGGGAGACCAGATCTTACAGCATGGTCATTTCAAGAGGGACTTGTCCTGCACAGCAGTGTAGCCCTGGAGCCCAAGGCATCTCTCCCAGTCTCTCCCTTTTTTTGACCCCTCCTTCTTCCCAGCAACCCTTGCTCAGGACTTTCTTCCTATCACCTCACACACAGTTACCCTGGCAACCTCCCAAATCCCCAGTCTCTATTCACACCTCAGGGCAAGGGGGG